ATTGTCACGCAGGTCTCATCCATCCCGACCGTCCCGACCATCCCGACCAACCGTCTTGTCGACGCTGATCCCTAACTAACGCTGATTCGACGAAGTCGTATAAAAACTATTCTTACTGTTGTTCTAACTGGCTGTGCACGGACCGTCCCGACCATCCCCACCGTCCCGACCATCCCAACCGTCCCGCTAGAATCTGATCCTACGACGCTGATCCGGCCAATTAGAATCTGATCCCACACGCTGATCACTGACGCTGATCCGGCGAAGTCGAATCTGATCCGGTAATTACCCTGATACCCTGATACCTATACCTATATCTATCTTGCAAACTAATGTGTTGTGAACTATTTACATACTCCTGTTTAAGATCAACCGTAGTCGTTTGACCAACCTCAGACCTGATGCCCTACAGTATCGCCTCCCCCAAATTGCACTTGAAGCACCCACTTGTCCAAAGTATCGAAGGGCCTCTCGCCTCACCACGTTGCCTCTCTTCGGACAATGCATTCTGATTCTCATGCGCTTTCACGTACACCTGCACAGCTTGCAGCTCCGGTGCTCAGTGGCGGGACACGATGGGCACTGCTCAAGACTCATTCTTCTTCGTCGGCAAAAGGCCTTTGCCTTTGAGAATCATAGTTATCATAGTTATCACGAATCAAATATGCATCAAACATCTTTCTTGTTCTCGTTAATCTTGCTTCTTCCAACCACTGCCGTATGCACATAGAGCCTCCTGCGCTTGCTGACGCCCCGCAGCCAGGGTCTGCCTGTTGTTTTCACGAGTCCAGATATCTGGTCGGAATTTCAGCAGTTCACCTATCTCTATGGGTTTGAAAAATCGTCCATCCTATTTGAGGACTCAGACTCAGACTTTTCATCAGAACTAGGACATGCAAAGTGAATGGAGAGGACTTTGCGTTTCCGCCAAGCAACTGCATGCGCTCCAATTGCAGTTTCAGCAACTGGTTTTGCTGGGCCAAAGCCTGCAGGTTGAGGCCGGCATCATCCGTCTCTGACTCTCTTCAGGGCAAATCATACAGTATCTGCACCAAACGAAAGGTGGGTACAAACAAACGACTCTTTCCACTGAACAATCCCCCAAACATGTATCGAACCATTAAGGCTCAGGCCCCCCTCCATTCGGCCTATAAAAAGAAAGAACATAACAATGTCCCTTCCTCGTTCTGCTCAACGCTCAAGCGGTACAGCTCTTGAATCTCCTCCTGATACAATCTGCACCATCGGTCAATCCAACCATGAGAAGCCGGGCGAATGTACTTGTGTCTGCAAGCAGTCTTTGCGATTCAAGGCTAAAGAACAAACAAGGCAACGGATTTAACCAACGAACAAACTACACCGGCCCGCAGAAGTCAAAGCAATTTCAAAAACCACGCCAGTTCCACATGAGACGCCGCGCATTCAGGAAGTCAAACAAGTCAGTGCAAAAACATGTAGATCACCATCAGGACGCAGCGATAAAACTATGTTTGTTTCTATCGTTTAATCTTACTTGAACGCCTCAGAAAACTGTATTCCAGCATGTGGACGCACATCCAACAATGACCAGGAAACGAAGGAATTGGTATGTTTCTTGACTGAGTTCACCATGGGACGCCGTATGATCCACTCCACCAAGTGACGGTTCCCCAAAGCACTGATACTAATCCATGTGCATGCTCCAGTGTGGCTTCGTGATGGTTGTGGTTTGATCATTGGCTGACTTGAGCATGTGTCTTGAATCCCTACACAACCACAGCAACCGACTCTGTCGAGGATTTGTGGCAGCAGCCTGATTCAGGATTCCTTGCCGCGGCCTGAAAGATCTAAATCAGGCTGCGGCAAGGAATCCTGAATCTGCTGCTGCTGCTGCTGCGGTAAAAATAGGGTTCAAGACACATGCTCAAGTAAGCAAATGGTCAAGCCACGACCATCAAATGGATTTTGCAATATTCCCTTTCCTATGCAGCTGCCTTCGATGGCTGAGCCATGTACTGCAAAGACCTGTGCTTGCCATATATATATAGGTCTGCAGCCATTGGAGAGCAGGAAACGAAGGGGTGGCTTGGACGAGGTACCGGACGAGGTGGCGGACGAGGTACCAAAGTACATCCGCCACAGCTCCGCCATGACATGTCTCCACTCTTTTGATGCAGCCAAGCAGCAGCCAAAGACAAGCAGCAGCAGCCAAGCAGCCAAGCAGCAGCCAAGCAGCAGCCAAGCAGCCAAGCAGCAGCAGCAGCAGCAGACAAGAAGCAGCACACAAGAAGCAGCAGACAAGAAGCAGCAGAGAAGCAGCAGCAGACAAGCAGCAGCTGCAGCAGACAAGCAGCAGCAGCAGACAAGCAGCAGCAGCAGCAACAGACAAGCAGCAGCAGCAGCCGCAGCGGACAAGCAGCAAACAAGCAGCAGCCAGGCAGCAGCAGCCAGGCAGCAGCAGCAGCAGCAGCAGACAAGAAGCAGCAGACAAGCAGCAGCAGACAAGCAGCAGCTGCAGCAGACAAGCAGCAGACAAGCAGCAGACAAGCAGCAGACAAGCAGCAGCAGACAAGCAGCAGCAGCAGCAGCAGACAAGCAGCAGCAGCAGCAGACAAGCAGCAGCCAAGCAGCCAAGCAGCCAAGCAGCAGCAGCAGCAGCAAAGCAGCAGCAAAGCAGCAGCAGCAGCAGCAGCAGAAGCAGCAACAGACAAGCAGCAGCAGCAACAGACAAGCAGCAGCAGCAGCAGCAACAAACAAGCAGCAGCAGCAACAGACAAGCAGCAGCAGCAGCAACAGACAAGCAGCAGCAGCTGCTGCAGCAGCAGCAGCAGCCGCAGCAGCAGCCGCAGCAAACAAGCAGCAGCCAGGCAGCAGCAGTAGCAGCAGGCTTCAATGCGCACAAACCCAGGCTGCAAAGCACACACAGGTACCACTTCCTCTACTTGAAGTAAGAACACCAACAGCGCTCGCTTTGTCACAACCAGTTTGCAACCTAGCGGCGGCTTTATTGGATTTCTGGTGTGCACTATGTGCATGGAAAAGTCATCTTCTGAGAAAAGGTCTATCTGCTAAACACCAGCAGGACGCAACTGTGCATCGACTTCCAAAAATCTTTCCCCAAGCTGGGACGCACAATTTATCCAAACGCATCGACTTTCACATCTTGGAGTAGTTGACATGTTCCTAATTCATAATCTTTAGTCAACAGTTTTGGATGTCAAGTGCAGCTGATAAAGGCAAACGGACATCCTGCATGCACTCTTGTTCAGAGTGTCCAAGTTACTTGACACTCGTTGGTCTTCGGGAAAACAAACATTGAGAATCACAAGGCATAAACACAAGCTGTACACTTATCATCCTAGATCATGTGGGCCTGTCAATCATAAATGTGCCTGGTCATTCAGGGGCCTGAAGTTCTGAAGATACTCTTTCAGGGTTTGTTTGGCCCGGCCTGCTGTTCTTTGGCATTCAAGCTCTGAATCTCACCTGGAGACGAAGGGGATTCAGCTTTCAGTATCTTTCAGTTGGAGAGGCCAGCCTTAACATCAGTCGAATACTCCATTCTTTGGGTTCTAATCAGCAAGCTTTCAAGGTGGTATTCCAAAATTGTTCTTCCCACTACGGGTGAAGCGACGAGTTCAACTGCCATGGCGACTCTTCGACGGAGCTAGCGGATCGGAGCGACCTTGAGTTCCACCTAAGATCTGAGCATTCCGAAGCTGCTCCTCGGTCAACGCCGCTTTTCCAGGCTCAGTGGAATGCAAGAAATGGCAAGTGACTGATCCCAGCATGACATGCATTGACAATTGAGTCATCTGAGCTGCGTCCAAAACGTAAAGCCTGTTATACTAAACATGTACTGCAAGGTTTTGGACCTTGCTCATCTGGACATGGACTGAAATCTGAACAACGCTTCATGCGGACCGCGGCATACCGCGACGCGACACATCTCGGACGACGACGTCGCGACGCTTCAAAGGCCACGGAGCTGTTCGATCATGCAGTTCGGCGCGCAGCTGATCGTTTTCTTTTGCGAGCAGCTGTGCCTGCGACCATACTATGTCTTCAATGCTTGTCGCATCTTGTTGCGTGTTGCAAACATAGTCTGACAAAAACAAACACTTAAGCTGAATACACAATAGAGCAAACTAAACCAAGCGAGTCAAGACCGACCCGATTCCACGCGCTTCCACCTGTTCTGCCAGGCTGACGGAACGCTCAATGACCGCTTCGAGCTCAGCGATGCGCTCCTGCCGCTTGCGCTCCACACGATTCGATCCATTCGACGTTGAACAGGTCGTCCGAAGGATTTCTCCTCGTAGGCGAACAACAATGGGGACATCATCTGCATATTCGTGGCCCATGGTGGCAAGGGCAAATCCTCAGACCGGGGGCCGGACATAGTCAAATAATGTTAAATATATAATTGACAGCAAGCAAACATTTCCTTTCTTGGTCTAAGCATTTAGCATCCTCCGGTGTGGCAGCAGGTGCTGGCCGAGATTGCTGGTACCTGCAGCTGCGCAATTCTCAACTCTCTCCAAAGATTCTCAGCATGCAAAGATTGTTTGGATCTTGTTGGATGTCCTCTCAAGATCTTACACCTTTTTTAATAGGAACGATCAAACGTTTGGACCTAAAAAGGAATCTCGTAAATAATATGATCTTTCTTGATCTTTCAGTGTAGCATCTGAAGAGACCATCAAACCAGCAATACAAGTTAGCTCATTGCCTAAGCATCAAGCAACATTGTTACTGTAACACATTTCCCCCCGCCTGCGTAGCTCGCGTGTCACACGGTCTGCATAGTCTTTCAACTCACGCTTCTCTTGCACCAATCGAGTAAAGTGCTCCTATGTATCTGCTCCATGACGACGATATCGTACGAGGCATTGAACGTATTTCATTCACCCATTCGGAGTCGTGACGCAATGTGCCGCCATGTGACCAATCGCGGAAGCCTACACCGCTTCTATTGGCTGCTCATATTTGCGTGTTGCAGTGTCAAGACCTTCATGAAAGCTCATGGCTGTCCTGCAATTCAGGAGATGCTGAAGGTGGTAGTGTGAGCGGCTCCTCAGACATATGCTTATATGCCGGTAGTGCCGGTGAGCCACATCGGAGTGGGTGGGACTCATGTTGGTTGGTAGGCCAGAGATGACAAGACAAAGGTCAGGGTTGGATTTCTTAGGAACAAGAAGCTACTAGGGGCTCCTGGCATCGTTACTAGGTGCTCCTGGCCTTACTAGGAACAAGAAGCTATTAGCTTATTGTTTCTACTAGCTTCTTGTTACTACTAGTAAGGCACTTGTTACTACTAGCGATGCACTTGTTACTACTAGGAGCAAGGTTCGCTACTAGGGATTTCTGTCAGCACAATTCGGAGTTCCAAATTCTCGGTGTTCCTCCTGTGCAGGCCCGACGCCAACCCTGTCCTGAGCAGCTTGCCTCAGAGCTTCGCTACCATAGGAGAGCCAGGCTTGAATAATATGTCTGTGCATGTCTGGCATGATGTTCAATGAATATAGCTACACCAGCAAACTCGCCCTGCAAGACGTGGAACTTGTAGACAAACTGATTTAAATCTTGCTAGTTCCAATCAAGGTTAACAGCAAATATATAAGAGGCGTCATAAAGGTGTTTGCACCTGGCCAAGGTGCCGTGGAACAGTCGTGGGATAATCTGGAAAGCTTGACACCGGCTCCATCGTCTGGCGCTTTGTAAAAGCTCACGCCACGCATGGTGCTTTGCAAAAACTCACAGCCCGGAGAAGAACATCGACAAAATGATCAAGCATATCAAAGCCCGCTGCGCACAATGTAGGAGCGTGAGATCAACTGAATGTAGGCCAAGGCTTGACTCTCTCCTGTTTTGCTTGATCAAAAAACCGCATGAACGGCATGACATTTCCTCAGTCCATACGGCCTGCATGCCGGCCTAATCGGCTAATCACCGGTGGACTGGCCCATGGGTCCCAGTGTCGAACGGGTGTGCCGTAGTCTGCCGTGTTCGAGTCTGGAGGCGAAACATATCTGTATGTTTACCTATTGAAGAGTGGCATTTTGTGCTTCTTTCCAGCTTCCTTTCAACGACCTGTATTGTAGGTCTGAACACGTTTGAATGCATTGTGGCATTGCCAATGTACTGAAAGAGTGCTCCAACCATTTCATTGCACAAGACATACTTCACCGTGGAGTTGACATTGAGGCACCCTGCTATACAGTGTTCTCAATTTAAAAGCCCATGGATTCATCTGCCACAAGGAATCTTTTTGAGTCCCAATGACGGTGCAAGCTGAAGCTGTGTTTGAGCAAAAGTGCGTGGCTTGGCTGTGATACAAAGCTTCTGGGCCACAAAGAAGCTCAGAATTTGTTTAAGGCCGGATAATTCTGATTGTGCTTGACCCAATTCTTCAAGGATCTTCAAGGGGAACCGACTGACAGTTAGATGCTCAAAAATGATGCCCACCAAGGAATTGAAACCCACACGCGCGACAGGGGCCAAGCAGTCCAGCCTATTTCTCGCTTCAAAGGGCTGCTCTGTTCTAAATCGAGATTGTAAAGGCATCTGCATCACGACCAAAGCAGGGCTCAGGCGGCTCAGGCCTGCCAACTCACAAGGCTTCTGCAGGATGCTGCAGGATACATGGACCAGCCGAGCGTAAGTTTTTGTGTGCAACTGGCCTCAACTCCGGCTTGCTCAAAGAGCCAGTGTCCTTCAAGTAAGGCCGTGTCCCTTGAGATTCCGCGAATCATATTTCCACGTGCAAGTTGCTCTATCTCAAACAAAATGGGATCACGACATGAGTTCAAAGCTCCTGCCGCTTGGGCACGTACCAAAACACCTCTCCATCATCGTTGGTGAGGATTCGAGCTTGACTGGCGCAGCTTGAAGTGAGCTTGTTTGAGTCAAACAATGGAATACTAATGAGAAGGACACACATTCCAAGGGATTCTAGCGGCAGGGGGTTCTATGGAGTTAAACGAAAGTGCGCGAGGAAGGTCAACGTGGGAAGAAAAGAAGAAAATCCAAGGTGTCAGTCAGCTTCCATACATAAATAGGACATAATAGGACTGTATACCAATAACAGCTGCCATGCGATACATGGTAATGCCACAAATCATCAATATAGTATAATATATTCATATGTCAATCCAAATTGTATGGCCGTTTTTGGCTACGTCCACGTGCTATGCTTGGCTACGTTCGTGTGCCGTTCTCGAATCCTTGCTGTGTAAGTCCCCCGAGGTGGCAGTCAATGATACAGTAGTGGTATTGAAGCCGAAGCTCTCATCTTTGTGACACAAGGGGCAAATTCTGCCAAACTGCTGTGCAGCTTGCGCAGTACGCAAATGTGGCCTGGCTGCATTTCCTGGTAGATGAGCATCTGCCTGCACAAGCATGGAACTTAGTAGCGTCCTTGCTCCGTTCGTAGCGATGCATGGAACTTTCTTTCCTTTGGGAGACCGGTCCGAAACGGCCCGGCAAGGACGCTACTAGCAACAAGAAGCTATTAGGGGTTCCTGGCATCGCTACTAGGAGCAAGGACGCTACTAGGGGCTCCTGGCCGTACTACTAGGAGCAAGTAGCTACTAGGAACATCTCCCAGCTTGGCGATGGCGTATTTGATCACAATCACACTGGTACAAAGACCTACACACATGCGTAGTTAGGCTGTGCACGCATGTGCACGTAATCCTGTCTTATCTTTCTTCTCCTGTGTGAATTGTTCCATCTGGGGCGGTTGCAGTTGCATGCTTGAAAGGCACCTCTTCATGTGGTATCTTTGACCTGGAAGAGGCTGCCAAACGAATTTGACCGCGAGATCGTTAGTATCAAGCAGTTTGATCAAAGAGTCGGTGAGGGAGGACACTCACTACACATCCCGCTGCAACTAAGGAAGAAAGTCGGATCGATGTTTGGTTTCCACAAACATGCTCGCCTGTCATGAATGGCTCGCGTCTTGTAAATAATGCTGGCCAATGCTGTCGAAGCTTGGTACCTGCACAAGCAATGTACTGTAGCTCTCTGAAAGGTAACGTGCAAGCTCTCTGACAAGCAAAACGCTCGGACAGCACAGCATGCAAGTCTTGATTCAGCACCTATGTTTTTTTTGAATTTATTTCTTTCTTGTCCCCTGCAGTGTGAAGCATCTCTGCATCTGAAATACAGTTTTTGCTCCAAGAACGAAACGGATTTGATTCACAAAGCACTATGACCAACAAGTCAAAACACCAGTGCCTCCCCAGCTACCCACGAAAGCTACCAGAAAACACAAAATAACACACACAATTCAATTCTACTTGAGGGAGAACCGACCATAAGGCTGCTGAAGATGCCATTAGCTAAGGTTAGAAACATTTGCTGGTGGGCCCATAAGACCACATACATCCAACACCTCTGGATCGTGGGCCATCCAAAGCTCAGAAGGGGTGTAAGTTGCAAGACAATCAACTTGAGTAAGAATTGGTTCTATTGGGTTCTTCTTTCGCACATTCCTTCTGCAACACTTTTGCGGCACGCGTTTTGCTTTTACGGACCAGAACTGCAACCTCTCAAACTTTCGCAGGCAAACACACCCATGAACACTTCGCGAAATCTACACCGAGAAATCTGCACACGCAAACACACACACACACACGTTGCACAGCTGAACAGTGCCACTGCTTGCTCGACTGAAGAGTGAGGCACGACTTGAAAGAGAGCACTGTAGCGATGAGCTTGGACACCTGCCGCTTGGGTGATGTCAACCATGCTGAGCATTTGGGGAAGCAAGAAGCAGGTGTGGCTTTGGGGTGTTCAGCAACTTTCCCGTTGGATGCATTGTGAAGGTACGATATATTCGGACAAAACAATGCGAATTTTCCTGCCAACCCTGTGAACTCCCGTGCCTCTTGCTTGCTGTAAAGGGCAAGCGCAAGCTGGATTGGAGGACCTTCATCCAGGCACTAGCTTCGTCGGTGTGAACTCAAGCACTCAAGTATACCTTCTACAAGTTTCCAATGGAATCGCGTGCTCTTTCAGGAGCCAGCGTGAATCGCGCATACGCATGCAGGGAGGCAAGCGCTCCTGCAAATATGATGACATTGCACTTTTTTCAGGTACCAGTAAAAAACGCCTGGCACGTGTACACACCGGTGTGAAATGCCCTGTCAGAGTCTGTACTTGGTATACTCAGAGGCAAACGGAAGGGTAGTGCACAGAAAGGGTTTTGCAAAAACCTATTCTACTAACATCGTGGAAGGCGTGGGACATTCGTAGAACCCAAGGCTATTCGTGGACAGTTCGTGGAATGGTGGGCCAGTACAACGAAATTCCAGAAACCTTCGCAGAACTTCGTGGAATGTATTTTTGATGCACTAACTTCGTATAAGTATAAGCGATTTTTGCTGACCCCCTTTCTCCACACAGTATAGAAATGACATGAACACTGACATGAAATGACCTGCCTATTTTGACTGTGGCTCCTGGCCAGGCACCTTTCCAATCACTCCAGCACGAACTTTGATGATGACAAAGTATGCTGCAGCCGCAGGGAGCCGTTTAGCCAATTCAGGATTAGGCTTTTGCCTCACAGTGAGTAACTGTAAAAGCTTCAAATATCGATTAATTCAACACCAAAGTCATCTAGATTGCGAAACTTGGAGAGGGCATGAACACAAAAAAAACTGCATCATTGCAGCATCAGGGTGCTTGTGACTCTGACGTTCTTGCTGTGTTGCTGTGGCGCTTCTACTCGAACGGCGGGAAAACACGAATCGTGCCAAGGGAAGGTAGTGCCTCCGGCCACCCACACCGTTCTGGGACAAATGCTGTGTACGGTCTGGAATGGCAAGGTCCGAAGGCTGTGCTCCGTCCAATCCTTGCGGAAGCATCGATATCTCTGACGCTTCTTCCACATCCAGAATTGATGACAGTGGAAAGCTGAGGGATTCAGTGTGCAGCACTTTTAATCCACTCGCGTGCAGCTCTGCAGCCTTGTACTTCGATGATTTTCCAAGCGCCAATGGTCTCAGTGAGAGGCCAAGTTTGTCGACGCAAACAAGGCAGCGGTGATAGATGGGACAAACAGGTGGTAGGTGCAACCAGGCATGCTGAAGTGTCAAGGGTTCTGGGACCTTCGGCTCATCCAATAATGCAGCAAGTATCTCAGCGGGCATCCTTTCTGCAGCTGACAAAGATTGGCCTCCAGATTCAAAGTTGGAAGCGATGTCAAACCTCTCCTGATGTGTACGTGGAGGTGCCCGTGGGGTGGGCATGTTTGCCAAGCTTCCTGTCTCGTGCATGATTGGGGCTGGGACACTTGTGTGCGGCGAGCTGGCAGCATCCGAGTCCCCAAAGCCATCGGCACCCGACCGGGACGTTCGGTCGAGGTCACTCGGTGGTTCCAAGGCCGTCGCTTGCGAACTTCGGATCAGGACGGTCTGCGCAATCGCGTCGAGGGACTCTCTGGAACGGGCCGCAATGTTGAATTTGCAACCCGTGCAGCTACTAAATCCAAAAGAGAATCTTGCTTGTAGCTGTACGACGTGTGGATGCGACTCTGGAATACCTAAACGAGATGGAGATGCCTCAAGCACCTCAGGCATAGCTTCCCAGGGAACGAACCATTGTTGTTCATCATTGTGCTGTATCTCAATTCCAACTTGTCTGAAGCAGACCGTGCAGCTCTGAACTCCTGAAACCACAGTCCACATATCCGTGAGCACAGTGCCAAGACGTCAAGGGTTCCAACCCAATGAGTTTTTGTTGAGTTTTCTTCGGAGGTCTCCTTATTAAATACAATTTAATACACATCTTTTAAGACTTACGAAGCCAGCACATCTCAGGAACAGACCTGAAACCGTTTCTTTTCCATCAGCTTCAAGGGCCAACAGCAAATCGTGGAAGGTGTCGGCACGCTGGTCTTCTCCTGAGCAAATATGAAAGGTGTGTTGGAGCCATTCTGCCGTCGAGCCCTCCCTGGATGATGGAAGGTGAAGGTGTTTCAGAATCTCTTTGATGCTTTGTTTTCCGATGAAACACGAAGAACATTCGCTGGAAAACACACAATAAAGTGGGGTGAGGATTGAGACTGTGAGACCTCCAAGGAGTGAATCACCAAGTAGCAACCATGCAACCAAATATCTTGCACTCTGACAGGTCTGATGTCCGGCCGTAAGAGATTCAAAACGTTGGATATCTTTATTATCTTTTGCCAACGACGAGCTGCTCTGGTTGGAAGGAGCTGGATCTGACATTGGCCTCATCAAGCGACATCTTGCCATGGACAGGACACTCGGATGTAGTAACACGAAGCTACTAGTAACAAGGGCATCGCTACTAGAAGCCCTGGCGTTGCCACTAGTAGCAAGGTGCCTATCTCAGACTCCAGCCATCAACTGGACCGCTGAAGCATTGTGGCCAGAATCCATGAAATCTAGAGCACCAGCGGAGGCACTCAGTACTCGATGGTGCTATTTCTACATGATCTATGCAATGTATCGGTGGGAATGTTTGGATGACCAAACCCTAGCCCCAAACAATACGGGAGTACTTCTAAAAAGGTCTCGAACCACTTGTATTTAGTTGCAGCAGTGATGAAACCGCAAGACGCATACAAGTCGACACCCCCCCGAAATACTTCTTGCAATGGTGCTTGATGCGAGTGAACAGCAAATACATACAACAATGCCATTTCATGCAGCCCTTCAAAGGATTATTCTTCACCCATATACAGTATAATATATAAGAAACAACAAGTACTATAATAGATATAGTATATAATATGTTGTGATATATCATATTATATCATACAGTATAATATAATGAACTACCACGGAAACTGCGAGAATCCTTTTCTTACGCTTCTCTTCGCACGGCTACAGCTACAAACTTCATGTGGGTACTTTGAGGAGCGGTTCCCATACATTCAGCTCTATTCCGCGGATCGAGCTCATGGTCCAAGATCATGTGGTCGTTGCCAAGTCGTGTGGCATCATCGCAACGTCCTTGTTGGGCGTCCTGTTGCCCGCTAACCCAGGTGCTTGCTTGGTCCATCCTCATCCTGGTGCTTCGGTTGTAGGCGAAGATCTCGATCAAAAACAGTGAAAGGCCAAAGGCCTGGAGGGTCTAGACAGCCGTCTCACCAGCTGCATGACCAGCTGCACCGGTTTCTGCAGGAGAGAAGCTCACTTGCCTTCAGGGTGGCAGGTGGACATTTCTTCAAAACAAAATTATGCATAATTTGCAGCTTGCATAATTATGATATAATGATATATTATGATCTATTCTGCCTCAATATGACGAAATGGAACCACCAAGATGGAACCGGACCAATGGCATCATGCCCAGCGTCCAAAGTGCCTCGGCACCTCCTTCGCCTCAGATTCCGCCTGCGTCTTCCGCACGCCTTTCGTTGAAGGTGGATCTGCCGGCTCTGGCTTTGAACTGACCTCTTTTGAAGTCTCCGGCTCTGCCAACTGAGAAGCTTCCAGAGCAGTTTTGGCCGAAGTTGCTCGAGGCTTTGAAGGTCCCCCTGCAGTCGCCGAGACAATCTCCGACCTGTGCGCGTGGAATACGTAATGAGCTTTGGCTTGGAAGCGCAAGTACAAGCTGTTGGAAGTATGGCAAAGTGCGTCAGAGATTGGCAAAAAATACTTCAACATACGCATGGCATTATTGCTATGGGGGGGACTTGGATGCCGTTTTGTAGATATAGAATGTGGACACCCCTTGGGCTACTTGAATATATTTTGGAGGACATAGACCTTTCGGCAATTCATATGAAATGAACCCCCCCAACGTCCAACATAAGCCTCTTGAGCATGTCTGGACAGCTAAGTTGCACATTTTTTCCATCGGCATCCATCGCCATTTGTTTTTTGACCTTGTCTGCAACCCCTGATTCCCGCAATGCCATGTACGCCATGGCTGAGAGCAACATGTTTTGTATAACGCTTTTTCTAGATCCCAAAAAAACCCTTCCCCAAACATCACAAAATCATTGTAGGTTTTTGTAGCGCCAAATTCTGGGCTGCAAGACGGAAACAATGAGCGCTGAACATGTGGAAAATGTTAGAACAAAAATCACACAGCTGGGATCAAACTTTGATGGCCCAGTGCATCCAGTTGAAAGAAATCACTTTGAAAAAACAAGAACACGCAAAAGCATCTGCAATAACTAGAAAACAAAAACATGAGTGCAACACTGAACTGACATGAAATGTTCAGATGGAGTATTTTGCGTGAACATGTGTTTTGTCTGCTTGTTTGACCTGCGTGTGCTTTCCATGTCATTCATCGCTCGCTGTTCTAACCTCAATGGCTTCTATTGAAATATCCGATCTCGGATCTCGTTCCCGAAATGTCATCGAGCGGTGCTACGGTACTCGCTAAACTCACAGATATCCCGGAGCAGCCTCAACCACGCTGCCCTCAGGGAGTCTTGTCAGTGAGCTGCTTGCGAATTGTTTCGAAACGTTGAAACGCGTACGCCGAGAAAGCGTTGCGCTGGCGGCTCTCAACGATGGCGTTGAAGAAAGCTGGCGATTTCTCCAGGATGTGTGACCATGTCTAGGCGGCAGCTGATGGAAGCCTCAGATACTACGCAACATGCTGCTCATCTACAGGACCCCCAAAAAATACACTAGCAGGAAAGAAAAAGCTAAAATTTTAAAAGCATCAACAACTGCGTCAAAAAACAACCCTGGGACTTGAGACGACAGCGTCCAGATGAGGAGTCAAACGCTGGACTCTTGCTGAGAAAGGTCCTGTCTAACTCCTGCATTGCCGTCGTTTGCTGGATGATGCGAGCATTGCCTTTCCTTGAATGGCTGAAGTTCTGGGGGATATACTGGATGGGGGCGGCCGCTGGTTTCACTGCAGTCTTGTGCTTTGCCTTGCGCGGCAAACACTTCTTGACAACGCGAGATCTCTTGGCTGCGCGGGCAGCCGCTTTGAAGGTTCTGGCGCGGCGCTGCGCCCCCTCAAGTTATGAAGTGGTTGGGTGGCTCATAAACCACAGAAAGGTTAAAGGTTTCTGGGGGTGGCTCATGGTCTCCCAGTGACCACATAGTGGGGGGATGTGGCTGCTCCACTTAGGAAAAGATTCTAGAACTGTATCCTGGAATACTCTAGGTTTTATTGAGTACCCATAACAAGGGTGTACCTGCTGGTGTTTCCCCAGACTTCCCCAGAAGGATGTTCTTGGAAGGGTTGGGTGGGCACATACAGGGTGGATGTGGTTTGCTCCTGATGCGCTCTGCCAAATTCCACAGCGCAACACGCAACCTTGCTCAACTAGCTGTCATGCGAAGTGAAAGAAGAAAGCTGAATGTAAATGCTCACGCATCCTGGGCAGTAGACCTTTTTATGGTTACGCTTGGAGGTTGGGAGTGTCATTCTATCGTAACAAATGTGAACAGTTTGTAAATGATTGCAACATATTTTTGAACATATTCCAACAGGCTCGAAGGGTTATGAATGGCTATCCTAGAGCGTCATTTGTACCAACTAAGTTGGTACGTGGTACGAATGATCATTTGTACCTACTTGGGCCCAAGTAAGGTCAAATGGGCCATTTGGCCGTGAAAGTGCGTGAAAATCATTTTTTCACTATTGTAGGGTGAGCGCCTTCCCTCCAAACCGGAAAATTGCTCTAAAGTGAATAAGGTTTGGGCCTCCAAGGCCCATCGTAATTTCAATTAAATTCTTTGCCTGAGGGAGTGTGTAAGTTCACGGGTGGTGAATTTTTGAAGCGTTTTCTTGCGTGTTGCAAGTTAAACAAATTGAGGCGTAGTTATATTGCATCTCCATTGGTTTAATCGAAAGTTGTTGCCTGCAAATACTCTGGAGAATACGCTGCCTTTCATTCGGTCCATGTCAAAATCTATCGGTTTCGACCTTGGCCTTACGAGGGTCCAAAGTTTCTTTGCCAATTGGGTTGCCACTTATAAAAAACTGCAGATTACATGCGTGAAACAAAGTAAATTCTTTTTGAGATTGGGTTTCGTTGGTTCTCACCCGTTTTTCTACTGTATGTGTTGTTCCGTCAAAAAATCACAAATGAGGTATTCTTAAGTCTTTATATTGTAGGCTTCCATGTTGCTTTTGGTTCCGTATTCTATTTGGATTTCACGTGTGGGGTTAGTATATAGTAATACACGAACTTTGCTCACAAACGTTGCTCTTGGGTGGCCTATTTGCACCCAAATCAAATTCGACGCGGCAAAAAAACTGCGGTTTTCATCGGTTTTCCACCTTGCGTTTGAAATATGGACCTTAGCGCGTGGAATGTCAACTTTACCGATTCAAGCAATCAAACCTTGGAACTACCAACATCGAAGTAGCGCAGAAAATCTGTTTGTATCTGTATATAGTATTCGCGTGTGTTTTTTGTTTTGCAGTTGCGTATTTGCGTCCCGTCTTCTGAACAATCGGATTTGGGCGCTTGGCAACGGTTAGTTTGGAGCATTCAGGGATGGACCTCTCATACTTGCTCACCATTTCGTGGAAACAATATGCAGCAATATAGTTTCGACAAAGATATTTTTTTGTAGGGCATAGTGAATAGTGCTTATCATTGTTTCTAAGTGCGAAGCGATTTTAGTCAATTTGGATTATTTGGTGGTGACTCAAACCAACAAATGTGCACCGTATGAATTGCCCTGTTGATATGTGTTGACTGGATGTCCCTGTTCCATACAATTACCAGGGCGGAAACAAACGTTTATTTTCAGCGTGGCCGCCCTCCGCGGTTGTAACTGATTCTTTCAAATGCAGTTCTTGCATTTTTAAGGTGGGCCTCACCAACGTTGAGGAATATATACCTGTTTCGCAGGACATTTTTATTGTGGAAACCTGAGCCTGAGAAAACGTGACATTGGCAAAAAACTCCTGCAAGTTCATTCAAATTATGGTTGTCAATTTTTTGAAACAATTTGTAGGCGTCCATGTGCGCTCGTAAATTTGGGCATGTTCACGGTTATTCACCCATGCAGTGTGGGTTAATGTGTTCGAAGCTGAACTGCGCGTGAAAAAACAAAAACGCCACCGATGAATTTGAAACCCACACACACATATGAATGAATAAATATGCAACAAACGAAAATGCATAATAGTTATTCAAGATAAACCCAGGACATCTATGGCAAGAGTTTTAGACGCCAACAATTTGTAAGCTTTAAGGCCGCTCACTATCTTATGAGTTTCAAACCCCAAAGATCGACAGAATCTATGAATGCCGAAACGCAGAAAAAATCTTGAGGCCAAAGACATATGAGATTAAGCCGACATCATGTTTATGAACTTCGAACCCCCCAAATTGGTTTTACACCCGGAACCTCCATGAACCCAAAGGTCCGGAAATCCAGGAAACTGAGCCAAAAATAGTGAACTTCACACGCAAAAGACATTTCGGAAAACTGACATATATACATATGTATATCACGGGTCTTTCATGGCGTGACGCTTCAAGGGGATTGTATGGGGCTTGAGAAAACATGAATAACACCGCGGTATATTCATGCACGAACGGTTTTTTTATATTTGATGGTTTTTGATTTTTTCATGTTTTTTGTGTTTAAAGTGTTCACCGATGTTCGCATTTTCACGTTTTGTTTTCAGGGTTTTACAGCGACGCGTACTAAGTGATTTAGCATCGCAGTGGTCTGATTTCAGCTGCAGGAATGTTGTTGATGGCATCCCAGCCCATTTCTGGCTACCTACGCGAAAATTATGGCAATATACGTGTGGAACCTGAAGCTGCTATTTAATTGGCGGCCTTATGATATATAACTACAGAAATGAAACTCCAGGCGTTCAGGAAGTGAGAATTGAACTCAACAAACGTTCTTTGATATCCAGTCCTTTCAAACTGAGAACGTGGAATTGCCTAAAAGTATGAAGAAATCACATTGTTAAGCCTTGCCCCAAGAACACCTCTTCAAGTGCACAGGTGAACAAATCTTTGTATGTTGTGGGTGGGATTGCCTTGAAAAGACGCGAAAGGTACCAAAATCCACTCTCAATAGACCTCATAGAATTTTGTTTCCGCATGCGCCGCGACATACCGTGGAAAACCGTGATTTGTACGTGCGAAAACACCATTTGTCCGCGAAAATACCGTGAAAAACATGAAAATTCCAGGAGGCCGTGGTATTGATTTTTCAAGCCCCGTGAAAATGAGACTCAAGCCTCGGGTCACGAAAACCTTGTAACCCCATGAAAATCCTGTGGAGTTTTGGGGCTTGAGGTTTTGGATTTTCGGTCCTTTGAGTTCATCGTAGAGGCTTTTGGGATCTAAAACTTAGTTTAGGCATTAGAAGCTCAGAATCATGTGGGTTTCAAGACTCATAGGTCATAGACCTTTGGCCTCAAGGATCCCTTGCATTTCAGAATTCAGGGTTTGAAACTCAAAGGTTTGGGCCTTTCAATTGTTGTTAATTTGGGGGCGAATTCTATCAATTTGGCAGGCGTTCATACCAAGGAGTGCACACGCGTGACCAAATGAATGGCGCTGTTGCTAGGATGTCCCTGCTCCATCCAGGCACCGGTTCATAGAT